TTCGTGAATTTGCAATCTCAGAAAGGGACAATCTCAGAGTAAAAAGATGAAAAGGAGACAGAGAATACCTGAGATTACAAAGGGTAATGGCGACAGAGGAATCGCGTGATGCAAGGATTCGTGGTTGAAATTGCATCGTCACTTCACTATCAGAGAGGCAAAGGGAGTTTGGCGACAAGACTAGAAGTTGGTTGAGCCTAGATCAGATCGCAAGCTTCAGAGGGCTCGCCGAAGAAGAAGCTTCGCGTGTTTAGGAACGGACACCTAGGTTTGTGTTCGTGAGCTCTAGAGAATCTCAAAGAAGGCCGACGCCGGAGGGAACCACCGGAGAACGTATCATGGTGATCGGAATTGTCTTGTCGATATCGGATAAGGAGAAGAAGAAGCTTTGTTCATACATCGGGAAAAAAGACGTGAAGCAAAAAGGAAATGGGCCTTATGAGATCAAAGCCAAATGTGGAGATTGTGAGATATGGGCTTTGGATCATTATATTTTTCTTGGGCCAAATATGAGCTAGAACCCATACATGTCACAAAATCGGCTCTTGTTTGTATTACAAGAAAAGGAGACATCGAAGCAAGGCTTTGGATATAAAATGGAAGAGGTCTTCCACACAAAACCCTAACACGACACGAGGAGGCGAGAGAGACCAGAACGCTAGGGCGAAAGAGAAGTCGCCATCATGTCTTTGAGAGATAAAGTTTCTTTGGTCTTTCTTACTTGTTGTGTTGTCTTTCTCTTGTCACTTGAAACACAAGGAGAACGCTTCCAACGTTTGTGTAATCCCTTTGCCTGATAGTGGAAGTAGTTGTGGGAGAGGGTTCCCACCCGAGAGATGCCTTCGGAGAACTCGGTGATCAAATTATATGTGCTAAGTTAACAAAAAAACAATCAATTGATCATATAAATTCCTAACAAATTACTATATATGTAGCTTATGTCAAGAACAAAATTGTGGAAACAACTACAGCGCAAAAAAAAAAAGGAACAAGAGTACGAGGAAGAATGGGGTGTGATGGAGTGAAAACAAAATTTTCTTCATAATCTATTGTATAAAATGTGTCTAATCGTTCGTTTTCTCCCATTTTGTGTATTCAAGTCTATTTGTGAATTCATTCCCACTAAATTTGATTTTATCGAAAAAAATCGATTAATAAAGATTAATATTATTATATGTAGGACTAGCAAAAATATACTAAAGCCAAATTATCTAAATTAAGCTTGATAACAATTTGAATTGTGTTCTACAAGAGATTTGTTTTCCTCGATTTATTTTTGATGCCTAATGCTTTTCATTTGGTTAATTAAGGAATAAAGATCAGCATTTACATTTATTTTCGGTCCAAACTAGACTTTTATACAATAAAAATAAATATTTTATTTTTCTTTTATGTTTACCGATAATGATCCCAGATGTAAAATATAATGCGTCCGTGCATAGCACGGTGTAATACTAGTAAATAATAAATTATGATTGTTGCTATTGACTAAAAAATTAAAAATAGGTTGTTTTCAATTATTTCAAAGATGGAACGCATATCTATACCAAATACAGTAATCATAAATTCAAATATATAAAATGGGTTTTCGATTTTGTATAATAGTTTTCCGTTAATTACAATTCATTTTTGTAACTAAAGCTATATTAGTTTTATAAGATAATTATTTTAACGCAGGTATTTATCTAGTTAGTAAATTATATGTGGAGTAACATGGAAACTTATCATTCTAAAAATATTGAGCTCTTGGATGCATTCGGGTAAACATTAGATTTTGGGATCAGTTAATTTAAGAATCGTGTTTTCTGTTTTAGTAGTATAATACCCACTCTGGCAATTTAAATTTTTGGATCGGATTCCATTCAGTTTATCTAAAAAAACCCGTAAATAACCGAATTAATTTTGGATTCAGCTTCATATTTTCGAACTTTACCCAAAAGACTCAAACATTATATGAAATACTCATAATCACCCAAATTTTTTTTCCGAATTTGGTTCGATCTAATTATTTTTAACTCGAGTTATTCGAAAATAACAAAAAAAATGAAAAAGACTTAGGTTTAACCCACCAAAGCTAGGTAAATCAGAGCACGTCTGAGTTTACACGGTACTAACTACACAGACATTTTTTTAGCAGCATACCAGTTCTGAGCACATTTTACATCAACCGATAAATCGACCGAGAGAATATTCCGTCCGTTGAAGGGTTTCGACATGCACTCCACCACTATATCCTTGGCGATTTTCTCTGACTCCATTGGTCCTTCCAAGATTACTTCGTTATGGATCTGTTTCGCAAGACGAAAACGTTTTTTGTCACTGAAAATTTCAGACGAATAGAGTCCAAAAGTTCACAAAATTGAGTGTAATCTAGTTTTTGAGAGGGGGTGTTGTTTACCTGTAGAAGCAATTTCCAACCAAGCTCCTTCAACCGTTGATTTGTCGATATTTCCAACATTGCACACATTGCAACATCAGCTGCACTTCCCTGTAGTGTGGATCATCCATGCTCGATCAAAGTTGAGATTGACGTATAGCAGAGGAAATTAGTATATCATAAATCAAACAAAGAAAAATGTAAACCTGCACTGGAGTGTTGATTGCTGCTCTTTGGATATGATTCCTATGAGCACGTGACTGATATGCCGGGAATCTACGAGCCCTTCCTAATAAAGTGAGTACGTACCCATCTTTCATAGCTTCTTTTTTACAAAATTCTTGCCATTTCCTTACTTCTTGTCTGTCATTGTACCAGAGATTGACGGGGTCCTGAGCTTCTTCCCTTGAAATCTTTTAGATGATAGAAATGACACAGTTGTACCTTTATCACAAATCAAAGCAAGTTTATTATATTAAACCAATTAGTTTCATTGTTCTACCTTCCAATGTCTAGAAAGCCCAATCGCGGTTTTCCCATATGCAATTGAAAAGTTGAGCATCTTAGCTTGTCTTCTCTCTGAAGCAAACGCGTCCTGAGTTTTCAAACATATTTGCAAACAGTTAGAATACTTAAGTTTATTGCAATCTTAGTGTATCAATGACATCGTGCAGAGATTTTTGCTGCTTTTTAGCTATCCGAGCCACTCCCTTATTGTCATCTAACAATCAAAATCCAAGATTTACGACTCCTTCGAAAAAAAAACAAGTAACATTATTAAAAAACCCAACCTTTAATAATGGCACTGGTGGCTTGTCTTCTCCAGGTTGTGGATGCCATTCAAGGAGCACTTGCCCTTTCTCTACAGCTTCACGAATATGTGGATACATATTCATGGCGGTCCTCGAGTGGAAATCTCCGCCTGATTTGAAAGCCTCCATCATGCTTTTACAACCAGCAAGATGTGCCAGAATTCTAAGTTCCAGCTGAAGATAGAGGCAGAATCACGGTCTCATAAAAGTGAACCAGCTCATAAAAGTTTCTACAACTACCAGACTCCAGAGTTTTAGTATCTTCACCTGCTCATAATCAGCGACAATGAGGGAATTTCCAGGCGCTGCTACGAACGCTTTACGTATCTTGTACCGATCCTTCCCCAAAGCATGTTGGTGCTAGAAAATTTTAGTAACAAGTTTTAGATGTAATAACAAGATCAAACTTTTAGCTCTTGGCACATAATTTCGAATCAAACTGTCTCACTTTTAACATTTTACAACATGGATACCAAAAGATAACACAGAGAATTTGCTACATAATCGCCTCACCACTCAAGTTGATTCCTCAAATAAAGTTCAAGAAATGTTGATTTGAAAAAAGCTTAATAAATACCTGTAAATTTGGCCTTGTAGCTGATAAGCGCCCAGTTTCTGCATTGATATTCAGGGAGCAATGGACGCGACCATCTTTGCCTGATACATTACTTCCCTGTCAGACAGGAAAAAGAAAACAATTCCATACACATCAACCTAAAGGGAAAGAGATAAGCAGCTCAAAATTCATGAAAAAAAAAAAGAAATACCTGCAATGGAAGAATAAAATTTGAGATCAAAGAATCTATATAGTCATCATCATGTTCTGCTTTGGCTACTTTCTGTATCCCAGCAAGATATTCCCTATCTACAAGTATACCTTGTGCTTCCATTTTAACAAGAAGTTCACCAAAGGGTCGCCAGTACTCATGGTAAAAGTCCAACATTGTCCTTGCCATAATTGGCTTTCCATCAAGACGCCATTCCTTCAATTCCAGTTTCTTTGTCATGCTCTCGTAAAGCTTCAGCGTGCTTATCGCACCCAAGGCAGAGTAGGAAATCCAAGCCTCTCGGTCTTCTCGCTGAAGCTCTTCAACAGGGGGAATGACGATAATTTTTCCTTGGGATCCATCTTTTTTCTTGCCAAAAATAGTCTTCATTGAAAATTTCCCAAGGAACTCCTTTGTCTGTGTGGCACCAACAACTTTTGGGTCACTTGTAAGCGCGTCAAGTGAATAACCACCTTCTGTCCGTCTTGCAGAATCCCACAACTGTGCCATGTGCATTGTGTCGGCTTGAAAACCAGAAATATCAATTCCATGGTTCCTAATGATCTGACTATCAAAACTGTAGTTGTGCCAGACCTGAAACGAAGAAAGCCAACCTAGCTATCAAAGGATAACCAAAAAGGTATTTCCACTAAAACAGACAACAAGAAACAATTTTGAGATAATATAGAGAGTTTGAAACTCACTTTTCTGATGGATGAGTCTTCAAAATAGGGTTTAAACACGGACAACACCTCCCTGCCATTTTCACCAAGAACATCTACCCAGATGCACGATTTACCATTCCCGAAATCTGCTTCTGACCCACAGTAAATACTGAAACATATCAATTCATCCTTTACCTCAATCCCGGATACCTATAAATAAGAAGAATCAAATAAGCCCACCTCTGTATAAATCGCCAATTGTGTAAGTGAAGACAACTAAAATAGAAAAATAAAGCCCACCTCTGCATCGCAAGAATGAACAAGATTCCTATATTGAGTCAGAAGCTTAGCCACGACGTTTTTTGCAGCCGGCACATTATCAACAATAAGAACCTTGTCATATAATTTCCTGAGATTTTCACGAACTTTAGATGGTTCAGTGCATTTCTCCGCTTTGGAAATGGTCACTTTATCCTCAGACTTTCTGTCGATAAGAGGTTTGGTTTTTCCCTCTCCTTTAAGATCCACATCAACGTTTGTAAATGGTGGAATATGGTAAGGGGCCCCGTACTTGCCTCTAAGGTTTTTTTCAGTATCAAAGTTGTAAAGGGCGGCGTCAGCCAGAGTTAACACTGTGGCTTCATCGGCATCAAAGAGGTGAACTTCGTTAGAGGACATGCGGGGAAAAGAGCTAGCAGGGACACAGAAAGCTTCAGAGTTGGAGAGGAAAATGCAGAGATCTCCGATATCTTTGGTGTAAACAGCGTTTCCTTTTTCGTCTACGTTGAACACCATTATATCTTGCGTTGTTGTTTGAACACGGTTGTTGATCTTAAGGGTCTTCTTGTACCACTTAACCAAGAAAATTTCGCCGGTGGATCGTGACTCAACCAAGTGTTCGATCCTGAGGCACGAATCCATAAGCTTGCTACCGGTGCGCGACACAATGGGAAAACATGGGAAACGCAACCTCTGCACCTTGGGTTTGTGGTGGAATGTGCGAGGATCCCATGATCCAATGATGAGGCCTCCAGATCCGGGAATGCGAAACATGTCATCTTTCTTGGAAAACATGACAGGGGAGGAGAAGTAGCAGGGGTTTTCGATTTTGATGTTGAACCACTCGGGGTTCGTTTGAGCCGGTCTGCAAAAGCTTAGTTGATTTCCCAAGAACTTGATAGCCACAACACAGTCTTCGTCCTCAGGAGATGATGAGGACATGGCCACGTTGGTGACTATTCGGGTTTGGGAACGAGGTAAAGTGACAAGAGGAGGCAGTGCAATACATTTAGGGTGGTTTGAATCCGATGCAAGCAGGTTTAGATCATTGTGGAGACGCACAATTCCATCGTCTTTCAAAGTAGCTATCCAGCCATGAGATGACCCGATATTTTCCATATTAGGGTCATGCACCAACTCCAGAGGCACCTTCTTTTCTTCCAGACAAGTGGTGTAACAGTCATTACCATACAAATAACTGGTTTTCCGAGACCGTTTCCACATGGATAAGCGTACCTGATGCTAAAAGGACTGGTTTGCAGCAAGGGAGAATGAACATGTGAGCATCTTACCAACAAAGGGGAGAGTGAGGACCGGCTGAGAAGGAGAGAGAGTGCTTAGCCAAGAACAAAAGAAGACCATAATTTATATACGAAAATCAAAACCCCACATGAACAAATTAAGCCCTAATTAAGCACGAAAGCAGAGAAGATTAACCGATACACAAGTAACCCATCAACGAAACGACACAATAGATTTGGAAAACCAACAAACCTGCCAAGGGTTTTACAGCAA